TGTTTTGAACACATAAATTCCTTTACGACTTATCCGTGTAAAAATAGTTTCCTCTAAGCAATATTTTCCTCTAAGCAATATTTTCACATCCTTTTACAAATACTTTGTTACCTTACTTAATTAGAAATTCTGACTTTCTATACTTTACTGGAGTAATGATGTTTTTAGACAATTTTGTACTTCTACTCCTTACATTTTTTTCATTCATTTCTACTTTCTACTTCTTATGTTAAATTCTATTCAATTTCAATTCAATTTATTTGTATAGTGCCAATTTACAACATATATCATTTCAGGGTGCTTTACAGTTCAACCGGATTAGTTTTCTATCTAAGGAAAACCAGTTGATTGCATCAAGTCATTGACTGGAAGGCAATCCCTCACACCAAGCATGCTTGTAGCGACAGTGGAGAGGAAAAACTTCCTTTTAACAGAGAGAAACCTTCAGCAGATCCAGACATTTAAAAAATAGACTTTTTTTGTTTCTTTTTTTATTTAAGCTAATTTTTATTATGGCCTGTTGGTATAAAAAAACAAAACAAAAAACAAAAAAAACAACCAAATAATTTGTTTCATCCAGAGAGTTAATGTCTTAGTGGTTGGACTCGGTACTGCACCAACCTGTTGTTCGTCACATACCAAAATAAATAGTTTTTCAAGAGGATGCAAAGTTAACTTTTATGCTGTTGCCATTAGTTATAAAACTAAGAAAAGGAAGTATAAAGAAGCTATTATACAGGATTGTGGAAAACTTTTCATTTAATACGGTAGTGCAGTAACCAGTATGAGGTTCAAAACATCTGTTCTTAACATTTTTTCCTGCATTACTTTCACTTTTAAAATTTAAGTAGTTTTAAAAAAGGTACTTTTTCACTTTTGCTTGAGTTAAAACCTTAAGTTTATAATCTCTTTCAATACTTACTTTCAGCCATCAGGTGGCCTTCTGATACTTGTATCTTCTTTTGTATTCAGAAACTAATACCAAACAGACAAAAGATATTAATCTTTCATTAAGATAAAACACATTATCCTTTAACAATCATGTTTTATAGATAAATAAATAACCAAAACGCTAAAAGATCACACATCTTCTGGTGGGTGTCTTCATCTTTCTGCTGATGTTGGTCCCTTGTAAAGGCGACATTTAGAGCATTGTCTCCGGAGCAGCTGGTCTTCAACACCAGACTAAGGTAGACTGCCTGTGTGTAAATTAGCAGACAAGACGGGATTATTCTGCCCAATGTTCTAATTTGCTTTGTTGTAGCTTTTCTTGGTTCCTTCCTGATGAGGTAAGATGAACTCAGATGAGCTCTGACCAATTTCTTTTGATGACTTTGAGCAACACCTTCTCTTGCTGAGGGATGGCTGAGATGGTACTCCATGAGTGTCTCCAAGCACTTCGGTCTGTAAAAAACACAGTAAAAAAACAGTTCTTGTAGGTAACTTTAAGTATGTCACGTTTCAGTCCTAGTAGTTTGGTCAATGGTCAGTGGTCTGTTCTGTGGTCCAGGAAAGGGTCGACCCTTCTCAAAAACGATAAAACTGTGAGTTAAAAGTACCAACGGCGTATAAATAAAAGGAGCTGAGAGATGAACTATTCTTATGTTGTCTGACCCATTCACAAACAGTAATAAAATAATAAAACTTCATGTAGCTTAAAGAACTTTAGATCAAAATTATAACTTTGTCCCAAACCATTGAATTATTCCAGAATTTTACACTCACTCAATACATTCACTTGATTAATGTACTTAAGTACTTGTTTTTTCAAGTGTCTTTACTTCAGTCTGCACACACAGAGGGCATCTTCATGGGGATTTTAACCAGGCTAACTTCAAGACTGTGCCCCTTACCTTACGTACCTTACAATATCCAAATATATCCATAAACTCTAGCTCCGAAAAAAAAAAAGGATTGTATAATTATTATTATTTTTTTTTTTTGGAAGAACCCTGAAATCCGATCATTCACCATAACATTTGCACAGAGTCAAATCTTTAAAGAGGTTGCACAAGAATACTTAAAATGTTCGATTGACGTCATTCATACATCTGAAAGCCTTTGCAGTGCTGGGAATCTACACTCAGGGAAGTAGGTAATCAGGTAAACCCAGTTTACCTGGAGGTGGAACTATAAAAAAACAAAAAAACACCAGCTAGTTATGGTAAAAAAAAATTAATAAAATTTATTAATAAAATTAGTTTTTTTTATATGAATTAACTTTTCTGCATCTCCTAAGCACTTCTGTTTTATTCATTGTGGCTATTTATAAGCACTCTAATCAGATGAGAGGAGCTGAACTCCTTTATGTAAGCTGGTGAGAACAAACCACACCCTGAGGGTGAATAGTTCAGTATACCATATTATGTCGTCTTAGTTGAATATGTCACCAAGTCATGACGTTGAAAGAGGCAGAGTACCTGCATACTGACAAAGAACTTTAAGACACTAACTTGGTGGCAAGATCAAAGTAATTTCCAGCCCTGACCTGCGCTTGGTATTGATGCACTATTTCCTTGTATACTTCTGCATTAATTACTGATTTTATAACTGTAACTAAACACAAGTTGTTATTTAAAATTAGAAAAGATAACAAAGGAGATGCACATTCAAGAGGTGACCAGAAGGGGAAACTGACAACTAATACATTTTTGGGACTGCTAGAATTCTTATTTCTCACTATCCTTGATTTGTGAGGGCTGTCCTCACAAAGCAACATGGGATTTGTTGTGGATGTCTCGTTCACTCTTAGCAGACAGCTTGAAATCATTCATGTACATGAGGTGGCATATAGTGGCCCCATTTTTGAGTCGGTACCCATTGTTAGGAATCCAGTTTTGTGTGGGTTGTGTTTTTTGTGTTGTTCTCTCCCTCCACCACCAGGTGGCGCCCTGTTCTCGTTGCTCCCCCCACACACCTGCGGCTGGTTGGCTCATTACAGAGAACTATTTGAGCGGTGGACTGTCACTACCTTGACGCCAGAGTGTTTGCCAGTTTTGGGTACTTTAGCCAAGCTGAGTTTTGCTGAGTCTAACTGAGTCTTTATTTTCACTGAGCCTAACCTTGTTTTTTGTCTTTGCCTTTTCGGCAGGAAGCCTCCCTGCAAGCTGGAAGTTTTGCGTTCTTCCCCTGGAAGGATTGTTTGAGTCTCACACTGAGTAGGGGAGTAACCTCCACAAGTTCCGTTCAAGTCCTCCTGGATTTTCAAGTGACAGTCCGTTCAATAGCTCCTCAGGATCCAACCAAGTCTAAACCCCCCTCCAATGAGTCTTTATCTCTGGATAAACCCACACTTATTGGATTCTGGGAAGAAAGTCTTCTCCACTAATGTGAGTCCCATTTTCTCTGTCTCTCCAGCCATCTCTCAAAGTTCTCACAGTTCCTGAACTAACCGCTGATACTTCCCTTCCCTCTTCCAGTTCCGGTTCACCAGCACACAGAGTTTCCTGAATCCAACCCCGCTGACCTTATCAATAAACCTGTTAAAACTTTTACCCTGGTTCTCTGAGTGGTTTACTGCATGTGGGTCAGATCTCTTAAGAAAATCATGACATCCATAGCCAGTCTTGGTCACTACTTGGGTGAGGGGGTTCAGGCTAATGCTGAATTGAAAGGGGGTAAGAATATCTCATTGGTATATACCATATTTCATAGAGATTTTTGCAATTGGCTTGGAGTTCATCTCAAGGCCTCATGGAGTGTGCAATGAAGGCTCTTAGAGTGCTGCTGATCTTTTACAGCTTTTACTATATGTGCCTACTTATCATTTCTGCTATAATGCCTGCCAGGAGTTTCCAAGTTGAGGAAAGAGAGGGCCAGTTGTTGGTTAGGACCTTTCTGGGGGTCTCTAATTATTAGGACTGTTCGGCCCTCGTTCAGTCATTTAGGGTGGGTCTTCAACAGCCAGGTCATTTGTGCTGCTAGGTGTACATGGAAATAATTTGGTTTCCTCAGCCAGCAGGTGTGGATCATGTCTGGGCCTGGTATTGTGCAATTGTTCATACCTAATAGTCTCTGTTGGAGGTCTGCCAATGTGATGTTCACTGGACCTTGCTCAGGGAGGTTAGCCTGTTGAGCCCTTGGGTCTTTTAGCCGCTGTGCTTTATTATTATGTGATGCTTCTTTCTCCCATTTACTTTTCCAGTATTCTTCGGTCTCTAGCCTTTGCGGATTGGCTTGTGTGTTTATTACCCTGCCACTTGGAGTACACCTTAGCTGGTTCCGTGGAGAACAGCCTGTTTAATCCTAAACCTGCCAGGGCTGTGAATTATTGTCGGTTTATCTGTGTTTGCTGAATTCATAAAAAAAAAGGGAACTGTGGTTCTTTAAAACATCTACTATGGGGGTTTAAATCTAAATGCAAATTTTTATAATCAGTAGTTCAAACTTAAATCACATAAAATGAAATCTAATAAATATAGTTGAGGTGGCTCAGGCATCTGGTTAGGACGCCTCCTAGACGCCTCACCGGTGAGGTAAACCGTTTATGTCCAACTGGGAGGAGACAAGGAGGGTTAGCCAGGACACGCTGGAGGAACTATATTTCTTGGCTGGCCTGGTGCCAATCTTCCTGCTGAAAGGCAACAGTGCTATAAACTATGCTGCCATCCAACCATGACTGTTTGAATAAAAATAAGGTATTATTTATTTTCTACTTTGAGCTTAAACGCTGCCAGGTTCCTAGGAATGTATTAAGCAACCAGCTGAACCAGAATATTTAATGCCAAAGTCAGAACATAAAAGTGGGTCCCTGCTGTCACCTGGTTAAAATGCACAAGATATGTCATGGCTTGACCCAAAACAATGTATAATTTAAGTCTAATTTAAGATGCATTAAAATATTGATTAAAAGAAAAACTTTATATAGACAAGATAAATGCCAAAACTCTTCAGACAGAATTTATTATTTATTGATAAAGTTGCAGCAGCAGTTTTACAACAAGTCTGAGTTGTTTGACTGTAAAAATCAGATAAAAAAAGCATATGAATAAAAATCACAGTATTGTTACATTTGACTTAATTTACAAAAAAAAATGCTACTAATTATTTGCAATCATAAGTGCAGATAAATTGCTTCTTTTAAAAATACTTCATAATTTTTAAGGCTTTAAGCCTTTTGCAGCAGGAAAAGTTGAATATATTTACAGATTAAAAGTGCAACAGTCTTTGTAAAGTGGTTATTTTGCTCTTTGTCTTTGCAGGTCTTTTCAAAACCTTCATATCACATATAGGAGATGGATGACAGGTTTCTTACTTCTCTCTGTTGGACACCATTGAACTATTTTAGTTCACACATGCCCTGCTCTGTGATACTTCACCTTACATACTCAGTTAACAGTGGACACATGATACAAGGTTTATGTTACACAACTACAGTGTGTTTATTATGTGAGAATTTCATCTGAGATTACTCATCTTCGCTGGATAACTCTTCAGCATCACCCCATAAACCAACACTGTCAAATCTTGCCCTAGAAATCTCATTTTCCTTGCATGTTTTGCTACAGATCTTGCAGACACGCAGCAGTTTCTTGGGGTCAATGTGGTTTATTCGGGCTCGGTCCTTGGAGCACTTGTTGCACACCACAAAGCCACACTTTCTGCAGTGGTGTCGGCGGTTTGTTGTGGTGAACGTGACGAAGCAGCGCATGCATTTCTGAGCAGCCTGGTCAGGGATCCAGGATTTGGCAAAGTCGAAGTTTTGATTCGGGACTTGCTCTTGCAGCAGGGAGCTCTGGCAAAGCTCGATGTGCATCATCCAGGCTCTTTTCTCCTCGTAGGTGGGGGCAGAGACAAAAAAGGACTTACGAGGCGTGCACATCAGCCACATGTGCTTAATGTCATCACTGTCCTCCATGTCTTCCAGCTTGATGTCCTCTGAAATGAAAATATTTATACAATCTTAATACTCTGCACCATGATCAGTTTTTCTGTATCAGACAGTGTTTGCATTTGATTGACTCACTTAAAGGGATGATCTTCTGGTTCTTGTACCAGCGCTTGTTCATGAGGATGCTGCCATACACGAGAATATCATTGAAGAGGAAGAATGCTTTCTGCTCCATCTTCTTGCGACCCTGCTTCATCAGGTTGCCCTCTCCCACTAGAATACGATTTGGTTTGGAAAGCGTCTCCCCCGGTGGGCTAAAAGCATTCTCCACTTCCTTGATCCGTTTGCGGTTCTGAGTTTCAGTCGACAGCGTGTCCATGGTGTCGATGTTCTGCAGCAGGAGCAGTGTGGTTTGAGTGGTAGCAGGAGAGAGAATCCTCTTAAATACTTCACTTACAAGGAAGTTATGCAGCTTAAAAAAACAACACAGTTGTCTTGCATCACGCAACCCTCTTTGGTGTTGGCAGGGATGGTTGGAACACTATAAAAGAACCACATTACAGATGATTGCCAGGTTTTCAACTATAAATAAAAAAAAAACCTTTGTAGTTCCCAGAATCTGAAAGCAGTTTTTAAATGCAGTATTTGAAGAAGAATTTTTTTTTTTTGCAGAGTTGAAGTGTGACTTTAAACACCACAGGGTTGCAGAGGACCTCAAATCTAGCTCTATCAAATATTTAGTGATAAAGGAAAATTTTGCATCCACGGTTGTATAAAAAGGTTTGATTACCTTCAAACTGTTGATGTGAGAAAGCTTCTTTAAGACATTTCTTTTGAAGTGGAAGTTTAACAATAAAATATTTAATTTTTACCAAGCCTGTATTAAAAAGTACAGATCTGTGAGTTGGAGGATTCTTAGGCTGGATAAAAAAAAAATGTTTAGATATGATTGGTTTAGAGATGTGCTCCAATGTCAAGGTTTTAATGTACTATCAGTCACTGATTTGTTGGGATCCGGATGGTGTAATGTAGGTCCTGCTTTTCTCCTTCAGATGTCCTCATGGAGCACCAATGGATGGGCAGCCTGGTACCTGGGATTGGAGTGTAAGAGGAGTATAATGGCACTCCTTTATAACCTGAGTGTTAACTGTCTGTTTTAACATCAAGCCTCTTAGTGATTTGATTGATTTTTGTTTTGTTTTGTTTTTTTGCCATTCCTTGTCTGGTTTTCTAAGACTTATCTGCTGTTTTTGCTCTTGATGTTACTCTGAATTCTAGGCCCAGGCCGACTGGTTTACTAGACCAGAAACGTCACAATTTAGTCAAACCCACGTTCAATATACATGACTGGAAAACCTGGCTCCTCCGTACTCACCATATTTCGAACCAAACCTTGTCCTCTCTCCAACTTGGAAGTGTTACCTCCCTTTGAAAGCCTCGGTGGAAAGCTTACACATTCCTGGACTCTTAAGTTCCTCTACTGGAAGAAAAACATTAATCCTCAAACAAATAAGCATAAGTAAACAGCCATTACGTCAACATCCAACCTCATAACCGACTTGTTCCTCACTGGATTTTGCTGTGTTCTTTTCATTATTTCCTTGGCAAAATAAACCTGTTAAAACCTTTAGCTGATGTTGGAGCTTGGCCTGTTTTTCAGTGTAGTCTTGTTTCTCTGACTGTGACTAACTGTATGTGCTCTCTTTCATCTTCTGACATGGGAGCTGGCTCGGGGACGGCTCCTGTGGAGCTGGTTGAGAGTTGCCTTTTGTATCTGTCTCTTTCTCAGTGTCTGCTTCTGTATCCTTGAACCCCAGTGGGCCTCGGCAGATGGCCGCTTATACTGAGCCTGGTTCTACTGGAGGTTTCTTCCTTTTAAAGGGAGTTTTCCTCCCCACTGTTGCCACAAGCATGCTTGGTGTTAGGGATTGCAGAGAGTCAATGAGTCAATGCAATCAGCTGGTTTCCCTTGGAAATTAAAATTGGAACTAATCTGACTGTATTATCTGGTTGAATTTTCTCCATAAAGGGCCTTGAGATTACATGTTTTGTAAATTGGTGCTATTTAAATAAACTGAACTTAATTGAATTCTCCAGGATGTGGGTCAAATGAACCAGAATGATAAATTTGTTTTTATACAAAAACACAAAGCATTATCTGACTCTCTGTTTGAGAGTTCTGCTATGAAGGAAGAGACAAAATCTTAAAGCAATAAACCTAAAATCATAAAATCTACACCTCCAAATTTCTTTAGCATTCTGCAGCATCTCTTCCAGCTTTACATATCTAATGATTGAAAAATCCAACCATTTTTTTTTGTTAAAAAATACTGCTTCAGATCAATTACATCAGATGGGAAGTACATAGTAATTAGTAAACACAATTTTACACAAATATGATCTAAATTATTTAAGTGCAACATTGATTGTTTGCTTAAGGGTTGTTGTGCTGGAAGCTGAACCCACAGGCTTTTTTAAGGATTTTCCTACTGTAAGCTCCATGCATCTTCATACCCGCTGCGACTTTCACCCCTGTCCATGAAAGAGAAAAGCAACCCAAGAGCAAAATGCTACTCGCATGAATAATGACAAGGAGTGCTAAAAACCTGTTTTCTTTGTTCCTTACAGGCCTTAGTAAAACTTTAAAAATGTCAAATGTATAAATTCCAAAACTATTAGTTGTCCTTTTGGCAGATCCTCCGCCATGAGCCACTTGGCTTGTCCTCCGATTAATGCTCCTTATTCCTGGCCAGTCATCAGTGGAGGGCCAAATCCTGGTAGTCTTAAGGTTCTACAATAAACTATATATTTTAGAGGATGTATTTAACAGATCAAAAAGCTTACAAAGTCATATTATAATACAAACCTACTTTAAAAGTCTCCATGTTGGATGGATGTTTCTTGGTCTTCAGATTACTGTTTTTGTTTTTTCTCTAACAAGCCTTAAAAGACATTATAAAACAGCTGGATTTATGCTTGGTTTAAAATAGATACACTTAGATTTTATGCTAAGGTGACTTCTAAGGTAATTTGTGCAAAAAAGATTTTATTTTAGAGTAAAGTAATTGATTAATTAATGAATAAGGCAAAACTAATCACAGATTTTAAACCTTATTTGTGATTTTACTTTTACTGTGCCAGTCTGTGAAATCCAAGAAACATGCCTTGATATTTGCTGTTGTAACAAAATATCCAGAAAGATCTTATATCTGGGATGCAATGTTATGTCTTGGAGTTTTTAGTGTTTTTTCTTTTTCTAAATGTTTTCTTATATGTTTTCCTCAGGCTGATTGAGAATTTTTTTCCCCCCACTGGAACAAATGCAATATAAACTGGATCAGGCAATTAGATCTACAAATTAGTTAGATGATTAAAACCATGAATGGTTCTCCATAAAAACTCCATAAAAGGGTTACTGGTGTTTTTCCTCCTCTTCTATTTATTCTATGTATTCCTGGAAGCTTTTTCATGCTTCCACAATGTTATCTCTGCAGAAGGTTAACAAAACAGAAAATCTGATTTACGGAAAATACTGTTAAAAAAAACCAAAATAGGTAGTTTTTTGTTTGACAGAAACCTGTCTGGCCTGATAGTTGAGACGCATCTGTCAACAAAAGATCTGCCTGATATGATTCAGGAGTATTTTAAGCATACAGGTTGGCATGCAGATGTAAGATCAGCTTACATCTGCATGAATTTCACATTGGGTATTCAGTTCTAAAGGACCTCAGATTCTCAATTCACTTTAATATTCTGAAGTTTTGTGTTATTTTGTTGTTTTTTGTTTTTTTGTTGTTGTCTGTTTGCTATCCTGACCCCCTGTGTGAAGCATGTCTGAATTTCCTTTATCTCACTCAAGATCAGGCCTATAACATTGAGCTTTCCACCCATAGAGCAGGCTTGTTCAACTTTGGTCCCTGGGACCCGCTGCCCTGTATATTTTAGTTTTTTTTTTTTTTGCCTTTACTTTACTTTGCCTAACTTAAATAAGGCAATGATGGAGGTATTGCAATCATTTATTTCAGGTGTCCTGCAGCAGAGACACATTTAAATTACTCTGCAATAGAGGTATGTTGCATGGTAATAACTGCAATGATAAATAATAGAGTTTTGTATTTGCTGGAAGAAACAGCAACACTATTGAAATCTCCTCACTCTGCAGCTGGCTGACTTGAACTCTTGCGTTTTTGGAAGGTGAATAAAGCAGAAACAGGATCCCTGAGAAAATGTTTCGGGTGACAAGGAGGCTTACTTTAAGCAAGTTGGAAATATTATAAGAATCCCTTCTTATAGGGTTCACATTCTTAAAAAACAACAACAAAAGAACAAAAAAATAAAAGTTTTAAGGCATTTTATATGAAACACATAATAGCCTACATCCAGTTAGTTAAAAGCTAAAAAGATAAAATATTTACTGTTTGCAGGAGTTAGCTTCAGACTGAAGGCCAAATGCATTGAACTGATCAGGTGTGTCTGCAGGATTACTCTAAAAGTGTTTGTTTCACCACAACACAAAGCTGATAAATCAGCAACAAAAAATGAAACGTCCTAAGTTGCAGTCAGTTTGAATGGAAAAAAACGTATTTGTTCATCACATTCATTGCTTTTGTGCATGTTGAGCCAGAGGTTGAAAAAAAGTTAATCATGTTTCTCTTTGATTGATTTAGGGAAATTCTCTAGCTTTAGTAACTCCAATGTTGTTTCAAATGTTCTCTAAATACTGATGACTTTGATTGTTTGGCATCAACAATGCTGAGGACGCTAAACCATGTACCATTCAGCCCCACACACGCACACATACCCCCGCTTGTAATGGCAATATAATGTACTGTAATACAATACTACTGTTACCAACTGTTTGAGATGTGAATGCATAATTTCTAATGTTCATTACTAATGTTTTATTCTCCATGCTGATGTTTTTTCCCCCTTTCCTTATCACACATCTTGTCTGTAACTGACTCACCACATAGATGCAGACTTTTAAAACGCTCTTAAGCTGCTCTATTCTTCTTCTTTTCTTGTTTAATGCTAAACAACTTTTGACTTTTTTATATATTTGGTCATGGTGTAATCAATAAAACAAAAGGTGGTTCTCATTAAACAGTAGAAATGAAAAGAAGAAAAGGCAGGAAACCAGTTAGTTTTAACAAACTGATCTTAATCTCAGTCTTATCTGAAAATACCTCAGATCAGGAAACATTAATCCATCCAGCTCAGGTTTTGGTAACTGTGTCTGTCTGTTATGCAGCTGCTTCAACAACAGCTTTTGTAACACGCTTACATCATCCTATTGTCTGTTGGTGTTACGCCCCTAAAAATGGGTATCTACCATTCTAACTTATCACATTGGTGTGTCTCAAATTTTCATAGCTTGACTGTTTAGTTTCTTTGCACTGCCACTGACAATAGGGCAGTCTTTTTTGTTTGGAAACAACAACAGAGGCCCTTAGTAACGACTGCATGAAGGTATCTGCTGCAAAGATCCATAAAGTTTAAATAAAACAGCACCAAAAAAATGCTTTTGCAATCTAATGCTGCCCAAGCTTTTAAACAGAACTGATCATTTTGAGTGATATTAAGCTTTTTATGCATTTACCGTAATAAGAAAAGGGATTCCAGAGGCCTCTCTCAGCCCCTGTCAATCATAATGTGAGGGCACCTGAAATGTTTATTATCATACAAAAGGTATAAAAATGTTGGGAATGCTATTTAGTTTGTTATGTGTGGTATTGTACTGTAGAGCCAGTTAATCTTTAAATCACTTGCATGTTGTTCAAAAGCAACCAATATTCAATAACAGTAAATCATGACAAGCATTTGCTTATTTTGTTTTTGACTGTTGTGATTATTATAGATTATTATAACCTTCTTTTCAAAGTGAAGAGATTATTTGTATTTAAGTTTTGTATTTTCAGGTATTTTTTTTTGTATCTTCAATTATTCCTCGAAAAATATAGAGAACATATTTGAATCTAAATCAGATGTTGTTGTATTTCCCATTGCTTCCAGCTGTTGTTTTTTTCTATTTACAGTTGTAGGCATCCAAAATTTCCCCACTTTCCTTGATGGGCCCTTGGCTAGTCCCCTACAATTCCTTTTTAAACATCAATCTTTGTTATAAAATATTCTTTCTGTCATGATTTGTGGACATTAAGAGAAGCATAATCTCCTGGTCAGACTCTGTAATTCAGTGAAAAGATGTAGTCAGAGTAAAATAAAATGCACGCCCAGGAGAAGGAGGGAGTCACTCCAGTGGCTGGAATTGCGAGGGGATTTTGCTGGGAGCTGCAGGGAAGTTGGCCGCTATTCGGTTTGCGTTTGACTGGGAAGGGTCATTTTGAATGGCTGCTACTGTAGAAATATGGGAATAATAACCATAAAAATGTTATTAAATTGCATAGTTTTATTTAGACAGCATAAAAAACCTGTACGTCCTGCTCATACAGGTTGGGAATGCTCAACGATTGGGGACGAATCAATCCTCTTAGGACTTGTCCACATCAAAACTGTTTCCCTAGAAAAATATTTTCACATCCTTTTAACAAGTTCCTCATGTTTATGTCAAATAGCTATGCCAAGCTTGTGTGAAGGACTGTAACACAGCTACTTAAAATCGAGTAACTGTGTCACTGGAGTGAAGTGGAGCATATGCATCAGGCTCGCCGGGGTACTGGGCTGAGTTTGTTTCTGTTATTGTTGATATAGATGATAGTGAATCGCTCATCTGAACAGAACACCAACAAATGAACACTTCATTTATAAAATTCAAAAGCTGATTCGTTAAAGAAAAAATAATAAATATCAATAAATATGGGCAACAGTGAGCCTCCTCTTCAGAGGACTATTAGACAACAATAGAGTGTCTTTAATCAGAGGATTCCCTAGTTTTGGTGCAAGACAGACTGCTCCTGCCTCTGCTATCATTATATACAACAACACTTTGAAAAAAAAACTATGAGTTACAAAATTTTATTTGTTTCTGGCTCAATAAAATATTTTTGAATAGAGTTGAATTATATAAGGGCTTAATGTTTTTTTATATAGGTCACAGCCAAATTTGTGGCTCTGTAAATCCTCCTATGCCCAGACTTCTGTGCAGGTATGTTAAAGTAACTGCAAAATGTCAGAAACTGCATTTTGTTTGTATGTGTTTCCATTGAGGCTGCCACAAAAGAGAACTAAACAACAGCAAACCACAGAAAGCTGATTGTACCAGAATAAAGTAGCCCTGTTTTACTGAGCTTGAAGGCCTTTAGAAATCTCACTGTTGAGGAGCGATTGGGAGGAAGGTAAATGTTTCTACTGAGGAAATTAAAGAAGCCCAGACTTGTGATATTGATGTTGATCTGGTCTGAATAGGAGAACTCTTTATTGTGTAACTTTATTTTAATACATTTCCAGTTTATCCTGAGAACAGAGAATCTGATTTTGCTTGTATTTTAGAGATATAAATCAAAATCAAAATGAATAATTACACTCAGAAACTTTCCAAAAAAGTCTTTGACATTGTCTCATGACATGAGACAAATGGAAACAGGTGAAAAATGGTCAACTGGCTAATTCTGATGCATTTACAGCAACAATTATTGATTTTTTTTCAAATAACTCACCAAACTAACCTAAACTACATTAGTGTTTCACACAGATATTCTTTATTTTTTATGTCATTAATTGAAAAAAAAAACTATTTGTTTTACTATATTGAAAGACCTACAGTATAACCAGCTCAAAATGTCCTTCTGTACATCCAATAATTTTTTTTCATGAGCAATGGGGACATCTAGTGGACAAAAAATGCAGAATCAAGGTGAAGTGTGAGTTTTTATAAAATTGATCAAAACAATTCAGTTTAGAGAATCTTTCTTTTTTATTTGTCTTTATTTCATCACACTAATCTACAGGCAGAGAACAAGTTAATCTTTCCAGGTCGTGTCCACAATCACTCCTTTAGCACCATTAGGTTCAGCCACATGGGGAAATAAAAACAGATTTAAAAGGATTTCAGCATAAAACACAGTTTTGTTCAGCAGTGAGATTGTTGCCATGGTGATTCTAATAGGGGATTGGTCCGTAGTAAGCATTGTAGGCGGCGATGATCCCATTGGTGTCCATCATGTGCTCACAGGCCACATTGGACTCGCAAACTTCTCTCAGACTAAAGAGAACAAGAGACAAAGCAGAGAATCAACCTCTAAAAATAATCTTACTGCACAAAGTTGAATAAATATACAATACAATACAATATACAATACAATACAATAACAATAACAGCTAAATACACCAGGCGCTCTTTACAAATGAAAAAAAGGACAGAAAACCTCTCCAGCTGAGTGAGGGATAGATGTCCAGCAGCTCTCTTCTGTCTAACCACAGCAGAGGCCTCATCTTTCACCATAAACAATCCTGCAGGAAAAACATTTAACATGTTACTTGGTTCATATTTTTAAAAACTGACCCTTTTTTAGTTAAAGTATTCACATTCCCTAAAGTTCCTCAGATTTTACAAGTTACAAAACACCTTAAAGTTCAATGTACTTTATTTGGATTTATGTGATACATTAATAAAAAGTAGTGCATTAGGAATAGTACTTCATAGAGTTTCTGAGTAAAAAAAACATGTTTGAGTTCACTCTGATGCTGCATTTACACTACAAAAATGATCCAGAAATAAGTAGACATTTCTTAAATTAAGTGTATTTATTCTTAATTTGAGTAGGTAAGTGTGATAGTTTGCCAATGGAATGAGTATTTTTACTCTTAAAATAAGATAATTAGATTATATGCACTTGAAATAAGACAGTGCTATTGTATTATTATTTTAAGTGTAAATTGTCTTGTTCCATTGGCAAAATGTGTCATTTACCTCCTCAATCCAAGCACAAATGCACTTATTTTAAGAAAAAATTAATTACTTATCTAGATATCTGTTTTTTCCAGTGTAAAAGGTTATAACGTCTGACTGACATGAATGTAGTTATATTGTATACATTTCTTTTATGTGACAAAAATTTTATGAGAAAATTCAAATAACTTAAACTTTAGGATATTCCCCTTTTGATAAATAAAATATTTTTTTTCAAGATGTGGGGACAAAAAGGTTAACAATAATGAGATTATTATAATGAATATAATATTAATACCCTCCTCCAGAGCCAGGGCATCTTCAGCAGGCTGGGAGTCAAGGGCAGCATCTGTTAAAAAAAAACAAAAAAAACTGTAATGATTAGAAGGAAATATTTTGTTACTGCTCATTTGTCCAATAGCAGAACTACCTGAAGTCACATAGACCGCCAAGGAGCATAGAACCAGAGCGATGAGGATTTTCATCTTTAGATTCTATCTGTAGTTTCAGGTCTGAGTCAGTTCCCTTCCAAAGTCTGTCTGTTCCTTTCACTCCCAAACATCCTAAAAGTCGGTTTATAGATGCGTCCTTCGTTTTGGCCGGGCTGTGATTGGTTGGGGAAATATGTAAGTATCACACACCCACAACGATGGAAAGATGTGCAACTTTTCCAAAGGAAAAAAACAAAACAAAAAAACAAATTGCAAATTGCCCCTTGGTAGTTCCTGAATACCATTTTTTTAAAGAATATCATAGCAAAAAGTCTGTTGTGAAAAGGATTAAAATCCTTGGTAAAAACATGCAAAAGTAAAATGTCTTCTCACCCACAGCTTTACATTTCCTACATCATAGTTTGAAGAGCTTAATCTCATACTCATCCTTTATATCAATGCGTTTTTTCTTTTTTTTTTGCACCATGTTTTTTTTCTCCCACAATGTTTACATTGATCAGTGATGCACTTTAAGAAATACAATGAAACTTGTACAAAACAAAATTTCATTTTGTATATACTCTGTTTATACAAAATAACAATAAAGTTTGTCTAAGTCTAAAGTCTAAGTCATAATTCCAGACTCACCTGTAGGGATCAAAGTCTTTGTTGTCAATGAATGAAAAATTTCTTTTACTTCGACATTGTCAATCCTGAAATGTTTACATTCCAATGTATTGTTTTTTAGTTTGCTATTACAGCAGCTAAAATGTTTATTAAAATATCCTAGTATATCAAAGAATTTATGATTGTGCTAAAACTACAGCCTCTTTCCTACTGAAAATTTGTGTTGCGCCGATGCCATCTTTTGGCCCCGATACCGATACCTGGCTCCGCAGTATCAGCCAATACCGACATCATCTGTTTGAAATTGATGTGTGTGTATATATGAAGAACTGCAAAATATTTGGATGTAAAATGATTGCCATCATGGCTTTGTCAAGCTGCTGCCTACCTTTGTGAAGCAGGAAAAAGACTAATACAAAGAGAATCCAGTAGAACTTTTTATTGCCTACCTGGAATTGGTGACTATAGTTGAATAAACTTTTTGCTCTCAAAATGGTATTGGTGCCCTATTTGTTGGTACTCGCTGATACTGATACCCCCATTTTAGTGCTTTAGATACTGGTATCGATATTGGTGCAACACTACTGAACATACCAGGTTAACGCGTGTTTTTCAAACACGGGTCGACCCACTAACTACCGTCATTTTGCTCCCTTCCCTTTGGCAACAAAAGCTGGTCTGACCTTTCACTGGCAAGCTGCATGGCCTCTGCATTGCATGTCTGGTGACGCCATAATGCTGTGTTATCGTTGATGATGCCACCAGCACAACAGAAATCAAAAAGCTTCATGATGCCTGATCAACCCATCATCAAGTAATTGCATATATTATTTAGAACCATAAATGAATTAAAACTGCACCAATATGTGTATATTTGTTAACAAGGGCCACATGAAAGTCTGGTCTGCCTCCAATGATTCATTTGGAATATTTAGATGTTGTGTACGTTCATTTTCCTGTTGGTTCAATGTAATCAGTATAGATTGACTCTGAACTGGTCAATCTATACTTATTACTGAGGCTAAAGTTATAGTGTTATGAATAATTCTGGTCTTAACTCGATGTAAATCTAAAAGCCAAGGCACATCTCATCAAGATATTAAGAAAATATGGAGTAAAAGTGATATTTTATACTGAAAGAAAAGGAACAGATCATTATGCTATGTTTCCGTTAAGTAGGTCCTGGTTGTGTTTTAAATAAAAATGGCTATACGTCTGTATTTCTGGAAAAAAAGAACCACAACTGAAAGACAATTAGTTTTTTTCCCCCCAACAAAATTATAAAATCTCTCAAAAATATTGAATGCGTTATTCTCTGATTTTAAACTAAATTATGCTTTTAGGCTGAAGTTTTAAAAACGGTTAAAACCTAATAAGAGAACCAAAGAGTCACTGCATCTATTGCAAAACATGGTGGCGCCAGCATCATATTATGGGATTTCTTTTATTTAGATGGATCTTTTATTAGACCGTCAAGGTGGATAAAAACACAGACAAGGTGTTTTTATCCACCTGAGGTGTATACATCTAAACAGTTTCTATTGGGTTATATTTCTTAGACAAAAACTTTTTTTTTTTAGCTGTAAAAGATAGATTTTAAATCCCCACACAATTTTAAAAAATGATCTGCAATAAGGATCCTAACGATTTTAAATTTCTATTCTCTCTCAGTACAAATGTTAAAAATATGCAGGATGTTTTGGTTTCATGTGAGTCTGAAGACATGAACAGCTACTTTTAAAGCTCAAACGAGCTAATATTTACTTTTGAAGCTTTTTGGAAATTATTTCAAATAAATGCTCAATTTCAACATGAATACTAGCTTTACTCTGATCTAGTACGCATCATTTTTTAAATCTGTTTAAAATCTCATGTCCAGCATGCGTTTGGCATAATCTAGAAGTCAGTATGTTGTAACCTCCAGGAAATAATGAGGAATCAACCAATCTGAGACCAATTTTTTCAGATTTCATTGAAGGTTAAATGTTTCTATTTAGCAGCTAAATGTTTCTATTTGGCAGCTAAAGCCTCCATCATCATTGAATACATCTAGGAATAAGAGGAATTACTGCACTTTTTTTTTTTTTTTACTTAAAACTGTGAAACTCTTAATCTCTTTCAAGGTTCTGGATTAGAAGTCCTTTCTGTACAGAGAGGTGCTTTTAATGGAAATGTCTTGAGAGCTGTACTGGATGAAATGTTGTTTTGTACACACCCTGTGTGTACAAAATGACAATAAAGTTTGTTTAAGTCTAAAAGTTTGCAGGTTTTGCTGATAAATGACTTGCTGGAATCAAATGCCTCCTGGTGGACAAGCTTTGCCAGTTTGTTTGTAAGGTTCAACACCAAGCAGTGCAGAAAAACTACTCAATATTATCACAATGCACTAACATTTTTTGTCAGCCCTCATTTTTTTCTCCACATCGAACAAAGGATGTATTATTGCTCCTAGAATAGCTGTGGCCATGTGCTCACAGGCAGAACACAGCTAACAAATAATTTGACTTTACTCTGGTGTTTATTGATCTTGACCTGTCAGATAAAGGAGATCTTTCCCAAACCAGTCTGTGATGAAGGTTCAGCTGTGTTAGATGGTCCATTGCATCTTCTGAGAGAGAAAAAGTAAAACAGCAACATACCTTCAGTCAGAGGTTGCAGCCAGAGGCAGTTATAGATATGGATGATGTGGCTCTCTGTCCAGGGAAGCCCACCACAAGGGACGGCAATGAGAAATATATTATGAATAAAGTTATTCTTCTGGAGCACATCTGGTAGGTTTACTTTAGAATCCAGTTTACAGGAACTTTCCAACTCCGAATGATTTTAACCCGGAAAGAAGATATTAAAAATATGGTGATGATGCTCCAGTTAATCTTCTCTTTGATGCAAAAATAAGAAAAAATAATCATTCTGGTTTTTTTTTTGTTTTTTGGTTTTTTTTCATCAAGTCTGGACTGAATTTCACCATCTGTAGTCAATGAAACCTTTATTCTATTTGTGAGACAAACAATATGTTTTTAAATTCTTTCTTGGCATAGAGAACACATACCAATTATATGAAACAAGGAAAGGACCAGTGTATTGACTGGTGAAACTTGGACTCATCTATGGATCATTTGACACTAACCTTTGATCAGTGTTTTTAGATCCTGATATGTTTATATAATGAAGACGCTCCAAGAACCACCACTGAACCCAGCTGCTTTTTCTCTCTGGTTAGAGGAGCCAAACCGGTGGACTGAGAAGGAAAGTGTACTTCATGGAAGGAGGTGATATGCTCTGGGAAGCCAGATCAGTGATCCGTGATTTTTTTCTTTTTTCTTTTGAGAAACTCCTCCAAATCCCACTGAGTATAATTTTTGTTTCCAAAATGTAGTCTTGCAAAACCAAGTTTATATAATCATTTCCTCTATCAATTTCACAACCAGTATTTTAAATATTCAGGCAGGAACAGTCAAACCTACCTGCTGCCATCCAAAACAAGCTCTGCACTGGAAGCTACCTGATCCCTTATTTAAATCCAAGATAGTTTTAATTGGAAATAAAGTTGTTTCTGTTATTTTTTTCTTGCTTGTCAATGATGGGAAGAGACCCAAATTCAACATCTAGAGAGACAAAAATGTGCTGAAACGTAATCTAAAGAGCTAACTTGAGCCCTTACCTGTCTAATCTTTCTTCTGCCTGGGGTGACTTCTTGTTTTGATAAAAGTTCGAAGAAGCTTTTCTGCTCACTTGCAATGGGAAACTCTAGGATTTAATAAAACAAAAATATAAAAACTTTGTCCTGTTTTTGTGAAAATGAACCATGATGGTTAATAAGCTAAATCTGAGAACTGGGCCAATAAATGGGCAGATTTTCCAACAGGCTTATTCTGGTGTTGTATGCTCCAAATGCCTCCTGGGGCATTTCCAATGGCAGAGGCAACAGTTTCTAACAATAAACTCTCTATAGAAGAGGGTTCTGAAAGATGCAGAGAAAACCCGACCAAATGGCCATGTAGGATATGTTGGAGAGCCACGCTCAACATATACCTGGCAAATTGGTTATCAGGTTAAGATCATCCCTTTTTAGTCTGATAAACCTTAAATAATCCACTGATTCCAATGGTCTTGAATAATTAGATTACTGTATTTTGATGTTAATCCAGGATAAATGCAGGTTTTCTGTGGAGGCCTCAGAGTTGGTCAGAGAACATAACATAAACGGCATCATTAGAGCAGATCAGGGTTACAGCTGAATTTTTAAAACAATATTTCAAGCTTTCAGTTTCGCAGACCTCTGTTCCATTTATCTTCTTTACTAACCCTTCTTAACAAGACAGCGTGTTGCATTTAAAGTTTGGGTTTTCGAAGTTTGCCCTCAACTTGCATTTCTAACTATTTTTGTTTTAAACCCTAATCTTTATTTCCATTCAAAATGTTTTCGGTCCCACCGGGCTCTAGGGAAGGGGCGTGCATACCGCCACCTACTGTTCATGAGTGTGTAGCAACATTGTTTTACATCTGTTAAATTCTATTT